TTTTTTTTTTTTTTTTTGGGTCCAGTCGTGGGGCCTGAACTCTGGGCTTGGGCGCTGCCCCTGCACTCTTCAGCTCAAGGTGAGCGCTCTACCACTTGAGCCACAGCGCCACTTCTGGTTTTCTAGTGATTTATTGGAGATAAGAGGCTCAAGGACTTTCCTGCCTGGGTTGGCTTTGAATGGTGATGCTTGAGCCACAGCGCCACTTCCCGTTTTCTAGTGGTTTATTGGAGATAAGAGGCTCTAACTGACTTTCCTGCTCGGGCTGGCTTTGAACTTCCATCCTCAGATCTCAGCCTCAGCTAGGATTACAGGCCTGAGCCACCAGCGCCCAGCTGACTGTTGTGTTCTTGTATCTCCTTATAATATCCTGTGTGCTAGGGAACTGATTTCTGGCTCCGTTCCCCGTACAAAGTTAGCACAACCTTGGAAAAGGTTAAGTAAGACGACCTTCCTGGTTTCTTGGTCTGTTAAATGAGGCCATAATGAGATGCCCTTCCCCTCTGAAGTCCTAGCATATGTCTGCCACTGCGTACCGCCACTTTTCTACCTATGTGTATCCTTTTTTTTGCCAGGGGGTGGGGGTGTGGGGGGCGTGGGGAGAGCAGTCAGTCATAGTGCTTGACCTCAGGGCCTGGGCGCTGTCCCTCAGCCCTTCAGTTCAAGGTGAGTGTTCTACCATGTGAGCCACAGCGCCACTTCTGTTTTTCTGGTGGTTTATTGGCAATAAGAGTCGGACTTTCCTGCCTGGGGCTGGCTTTGAACTGAGATCTTCAGATCTCAGCCTCTTGGAGTAACTAGGATTACAGGTGTGAGCCACTGGTGCCCAGCTGTGTACAACACTTAAAGTGAATTCAAATCATGGTTTGAAAATGACATCATGATAATGCGTTTTTTATTTTAGAAAAACATGTGTGTGTGTTTGTGTGTGTGTGTCCGTGTCCATGTCTATGTCTTTGTCTATGTGTCTGTCCTGGTCCTAGGGCTTGAAATCAGGGCCTCATTGAGCAACTTTGCTTATGTTTTTGTTATTATAAAGTTTCAATTAAGTTCACAAGTATAGCTCACTGGTGGGTTCATCTGGTGGGTTGATGGGCTAGTCTCAGTCAGGCAGCTTGTCCCTTTTTTCTGCATACCACATCTCATCTTCAAAGAGACTGGACCACCTTCTTCATATTGTTCATTCGTCAGGGGTGAGAAGCATTTTATCCAGCCTTTAATTATTTTGAATTTGCTAATATTGAATTGACCAAAGCAGTTGATAACAGCCAGGTCCAATATGAATGTGAAAATTTGGTATACTCTACAGAAGTATACACTGTGAAGCATGGCTCAGAAAGGTCTTTAGTTTACACCTTCCATGCTAATTATTCCATCTTCTTCAGTTGAGGACTTCCTAAGTTGGTTTTTTTTCAGAATCTTGTTATAGATGTATTTGGAATTGTCAATCCCATATGCTCATGTTGAAGTTCATTAGGACTGTACCAATTTTGGTTCAAAGAATTAGAACACCTGGGTAAAAGATTGAATCAGACTAAGATTAATCAGTATCTATTCCTGCCTATATCTGATCTTATTTTAAAGTAACGAACAGCCGGGCACCAGTGGCTTACTCCTATAATCCTAGCTACTTAGGAGGCTGAGATCTGAGGATCATGGTTCAAATATAGCCCAGGCAGGAAATCTGTGAGATTCTTACTTCCAATTAAGTACAAGAAAACTAGAAGTGGGGCTGGGAAGGTGGCTCAGTGGTAGAGCGCTTGCCTTGCATGCCTGAGGCCCTGGGTTCGATTCCTCAGCACCACATAAGAAAAAAAGAAAAAACCTGGAAGTGGCGCTGTGGCTCAAGTGGTAGAGCACTAGCCTTGAGCTGAAGAGCTGAGGGACAGCGCCCAGGCCCAGAGTTCAGGCCCCACGACCCGACCCCCCCCCCAAAAAAAAAAAAAAAGAAAACTAGAAGTGGCCCTGTGGCTCAAAGTGGTACAGCACTAGCCTTGAGCACAAAAGCTGAGGCACAATGCCTAGGCCTTGAGTTCTAAACACAGATGGACTGGAAAAAAAAAAAGGGAAAATTGAGAGTGTCGTACTGTGTTTCTTAGGATTAATGTTGTTTTCCATAAGTTAAAGTACTTGGGAATGCTATTTGGTAATTGGTTATAAACCCAATGCAGTTCTATCTCAAGCTTTCACATTATTCTCAGATATGGGATAATAAACATTAGCAGTGAGTCAGTTATCAAAGAGAAAATTTGTATTTCAGTAGTGGCCTGTAGTGTTTAATAACATGTTGTGATTATCTGTTTTGTTTTTGTTTCATTTTAGCTCTTCAGAGAAGTAAGAATAATGAAGATTTTAAATCATCCAAACATAGGTATTTTCTGCTTTCTTGTGAATACTTTAGGGATCTAAATGCATAGATGAAAGTATCTCATGAAGCTAAATACATATTCCTGAGTAGACTCTTCACTCATACTTCAGGTATACTTCTTAATTACACCTACACCCACATATACTCACACCCACTAATAGTACACACACACACACCCCATTTAATAGTATTTTGAGCTTGAAGCTTTAATACAATAGAAAGATCTATAATTAGACTGAGTGTAAATTTTTAGTGTGTTTGAAAACTTAATTGTATTACATTAGTAGATACGAGAAAGTGGAATTATAGAAAGTCAGAATGTATACATTGATTTTTTTATTTTTTGTTGGTCCTGGGGCTTGAACTCAGGGCCTGGGCACTGTCTCTGAGCTTTCTCACTCAAGGCCAGTGTTCCACCACCTTAAGCTACTTCACCACTTAAGTTTTCTTGTGGTTAATTGGAGATAAGAATCTCATAGAGCTGGGAAGATGGCTCAGTGGTAGAGTGCTTGCCTGCCTCGCATGCATGAGGCCCTGGGTACGATTCTTCAGCACCACATAAACAGAAAAAGCCAGAAGTGGTGCAGTGGCTGAAGTGGTAGTTTTAGCCTTGAGCTGAAGAGCTCAGGGACAGTGTCCAGGCCTAGAGTTCAAGCCCTGTGACCAACAAAAATAAATAAAGAATCTCATGGAATTTCCTGCCTCGGCTGGCTTTGGAGCTTGACCCTCAGATCTCAGCCTCCTGAATAGCTAGGATTACAGATGTGAAAGTAAGCTGGGACTTGACTCTAATGGCAACAAGCATCAGGCCCCTTCAATATGACCACAAAGGAATAAAGAAAATACTTGAACAGAGCAGTACTAACAAGACAGATGAGTTACCAGGCAACAATGGCTCACAGCTGTAATCCTAGCTTCTCAGGAGGCTGAGATCATGGTTCGAAGCCAGCCTGGGCAGGAAAGTCCATGAGATTCTTTTCTCCAATTAACAACCAAAAAGCCAGAAGTGGTGCTATGGCTCAATTGGTAGGCAATATGCTGGAGCAAAAAACTTCAGGAACAGTGGCAAAGCCCAAGGTTCAAGCCCCAAAACCAGCACCAAAAAGAAAAAAATAAATGGCATACTTGCTATCTAGTTTTTTTGCCAGTCCTAGGGCTTGAACTCAGGGCCTGGGCACTGTCCCTGAACTTTTGCTCAAGAGCCACAGTGTTAGTTCCGGCTTTTTCTGTTTATGTGATACTAAGGAATTGAACCCAGAGCTTCATGCGTGCTATGCAAGCGCGCTACCACTAAGCCACATTCCCAGCCCTTTTTATTATTTATTTAATGACTTTCGTTGTTGTGTTGTTTTAGTTTATGTGGTACTGAGGAATGGAACCCAGGGCCTCATGCATGCTAGGCAAGTACTCTACAACTAAACTACAATCCCAGTCCATGATCTTTTTTTAATTTTTTAATTTTTATTTATTTATTTATTTATTTTTGGGTCCGATCGTGGGGCCTGAACTCTGGGCCTGGGCGCTGTCCCTCAGCTCTTCAGCTCAAGGCTAGCATTCTACCACTTGAGCCACAGCACCACTTCCGGCTTTTTTCCTTTTGCTTATGTGGTGCTGAGGAATCGAACTCAGGGCCTCATGCATGTAAGGCAAGTACTCTACCACTGAGCCACCTTCCCAGCCCCCAGCTTAATTTTTTTAAATGTGGTGTTGGGCTGGGCTCCAGTGGCTCAGGCCTATAATCCTAGCTACTCTGGAGGCTTAGATCTGAGGATCATGATTTAAAGCCAGCTGGGGCAGAAAACTCTGTGAGACTCTTATCTCCAATAAATCACTCAGAAGTAGGGTATGGCTCAAGTAGAGTTCTAGCCTTGAGCTGAATAGCTGAGGGACAGCGTCCAGGCCCAGAGTTCAAGCCCCACGACCGACAAAAAAAAAAAAAAATGTGATGTTGGGTTCAGACCCAGAGTTTTGTGCATGTTAGGCAAGCCCTTTTCCATTGAGCTACAGGTTAGGCCATAGTTTGTTTTAGCAGTGCTGGGATCACCCAGGGCTTTGGGCCTGACTAGGTAAGTTCTTTACCACTGAGCTACATATCCAGCCTCAAAACTATAGTTAAACACTGAAATTATACCTTGATTTAGAGTTCTCTGTTTACTGATGGTTTTTTGCTTATAGAATTATTATTATTTTTTTTTTGCCAGTCCTGGGGTTTGAACTCATGGTCTGAGTGCTGTTTCTGACAAGGCTAGCTTTCTACCACTTGAGCCACAGATTCCTCCACTTCCAGCCTTTTGTGCTTAATTGGAGATAAGAGCCTTAAACGGAAGTGGCACTGTGGCTTAAGTGGTAGAGAGTTTGCCCAAGCCTGACGAGCGCAGGAACAGCGCCCAAGCCCAGAGTTCAAGCCCCTCGACCGACCAAAAAAAAAAAAAAAGAAAGGAATTTTTAAGAAATTCTGGGTACCCAGAAATAAAATTGAGTTTGTGACATTCCTCACTTTTATAGTCTCTTCTGTTGTACTGTATGATTTTAAAAAATCCCTAGAAGCATTTTTTATTGAGCCAGTACTCAAAAACTCTCTTAATAGAGGAAAGTTGCTTTTCATAGTGTATACATGTACATGGGTTGTTATGTTCATGGGTAAGCCTGCAGACATTTGTTTTTCTTTTGTCTTTTCCTCTCTCTCAGTGAAATTGTTTGAAGTCATTGAAACTGAAAAAACACTCTACTTAATCATGGAATATGCAAGTGGAGGTAAGCATATACTTTTCCCCCTTCTTTTCTTTCAGAAGATTGCATAGCCAGACTATCCATATGGATAATTGTTAAGTTTCATCTAAATCCGGACTCATAATACACTAGTGAAGAACCAGAAAAGCTGATATTTAGCTGATAAAAGCTGCTAAATATCATTTACCACTTAAACTGTTTCCAAGTCTGTAGTTCAGTGCTTCACGTGGGCAACTTTTCCCCACTGTCCATCTCCAGAAATTGTGTTAAACTGAAGCTATGTGTGCATTAAACCCTAACTGCCCATTTGCATCTTTCTCAGCTCCTGTTAACCACCATTCTGTCTCTGAATTTAACTACTTTAGGTACTGAATAGAATGGGAGTCATACAGTATTGTCTTTTTTTTGCCTGGCTTTTTCACTTAGCATAATGTCTTTGAAGTAACCTGTTTTGTGGCATGTGCTGTTATTTCCTTCATTTTTAAGGCTGAATTCCTGTATATTTTGTGTACATTTTATTTGTCCCAAGTATTTAGATTTATTAATAAATGAGTGTGGTGAAAATAAATGTGTGCTATATGTTAGATGCTTTTCTTTCTAGATTTTAATGTCATTGGTGGCCAAAAATGATGGCTTCAGAACATATTACTGTATTTTTCTTAAAATGAAAATTAAAGTCTAATAGTTTTTTGAATTGATTCTCACTGTGGAGGTCAGCAGCTCTCCCGGTCACCTTTTCATTATCCCCACCTCTGGCCCATGTTAGACACATGGTAGATATTCAACAGATTTAGAGTTAGACTACATTTGTAAAATGTAAACCTCTGGAGAAGCTTCCTTCAAGATTGTAGTTTTTTTTTGTTGTTGTTGTTTGTTGTTGTTGTTGTTTTATCAGTTGTGGGACTTGAACTCTGTGCCTGGGCACTGTCCCTCAGCTCTTCAGCTCAAGCCAAGCGCTCTACCGCTTGAGCCACAGCACCACTTCCAAGATTGTAGTTTTGTCTTATAATAATTATTATTTTGCCAATCTTAGAGCTCGAACAGAGGGCCCGGGCATTGTTCCTAAGCTTCTTTTGCTCAAGGCTATCACTCTATCACTTGAGTCATAGTGCTACTTCTGGCTTTTCTGTTTGTGTATACTGAGGAATCAAACCCAGGGCTTCACGCATACTTTTGAAAATTTAGTTGGGATTTTCAAACTTGAGCAATAGGAAGAACTGAAGGTTAATGCAGAACCAAAAATTTGTATAGAATTGCAGTACTCATCCTATGTGAAGCACCACAACATAGAGTTCCCTTATAACTGCCTTGTTTGTGTGACCCTTGCGGTGGTGGAGGTGCTTGATTAAGCATCTTGTTCTTCACAGTGTCTCCACAGAATGGCTGGGCAGTGAGTGATGGGCCTTGAGGAAGTAGATGCTAGGAAGGCTTACTACAGTCTACTACTGCCAGTTATGGAGCAAGGCCTTCTGTTAGCATATAACCTCTCTGGTTTATCAGTTTACCATTGTTCTCTGTTCCTCTGTAGCTTAGAGACTCAGACCATGGGATTACTCTTAGTTATATAGGGGCAAGACTGGAATGGATGAGAAGAATCCCAAGTTTAAGGGAAAGGAGATGGGTAAACTGTATGCTGGTAGCTAACACATATAATCCTAACTACTCAGGAACCGGAGACCTGAAAGGATCAAGGCTCAGAGTCAGCCGGGGCAGGAAAGTCAGTGAAGAGTCTTACTTCCCAATTAACCACCAGAGAACCATATGTGTAGCTGTGGCTCCAAGTGGTAGAGTATTAGCCTTGAGCAAAAAAGCTCAGAGGCAGCCCAGGCCCTAAGTTCAAGCCCCATGACTTAAAAAAAAAAAAGAAGAAGAAGAAGCCAGGTGCTGTTGGCTCATGTCTGCAATCCTAGCTACTCAGGAGGCTGAGATCTGAGGATCATGGTTCAAAGCCAGCCCAATAAACCACTAGAAAACCGGAAGTGGCACTGTGGCTCAGGCGGTAGAGCGCTCACTTTGAGCTGAAGAGCTAAGGGACAGCGCCCAAGCCCAGAGTTCAAGCCCCATGACCGATGACCAAAAAAAAAAAAGGATGGGTAAATCCAGCTAGCCCTTGCTGACCATATGACTTGAAAATTTGGCTGGCTGGGGTTTGAGAATGTGGCGGAGTACTGTGTTTCTTGAGTAGCAAGCCAAGGCTCTGAGGTCAAACTTTCATATCAGAGTAAAAAATAATGTCCAGCTAACTGGGCTTCACTGTGTGTATTCTAACATAGTCCTCAATATTATACCTTAAGGAATAAAAAAAAAAAAAAAAGTGGTTGTTTACTGTCTTGGGGTGGATTGTATGGTTTGATGGTACTAGGATTTGAATTCCGGGCCTTGCTTTACTAGTGTAGTAGTCTACCACTGAGCCATGTTTCTAGCCCTGGTTTTCATGAGTTATTTTTAGAATTGTCTCCCTTCCTGTGCTTGCTGGCTCCTGTGTCACGATCTGCCTACTTTAGGCTTCCCATAGTTACTGGAATCACAGGCAAGTACCATTGTTCAGCCTCCCTTTGTGGGGACAGTCTCAAGTACCTTTCTGCCCAAGTTGGCCTAGAATTGTAATCTTCCCATTCTCAATTTCCCATAAAGCCTTGGATGACAGGCATGAACCACTGTCCCTAGTTATAGTTTGAGAATGGGGGTCTTATGAATTATTCTGCTCAGGCTGTTCTCAAACCATGATCCTCCTGTTCTCATCCCCTCAATTTGAGTAGCTAGGATTACAAGTATGATCCACTGGCACCCAGCTGGACTGTGTTATCATCAGCTCAGGGAAGCACTGTCTGATATGCACATTAAATTGACTGTTCTTGCTGGCTGCTGGTAACTTACACCTAGAATCCTAGCTCTACTACTCAGGAGGCTGAGATCTGAGGATTGTGACTCAAGCCAGCTGAGGCAGGCAGGAAAGTCCATGAGACTCTTATCTCTAGTTAACCACCAGAAAACCGTGGCTCAAGTGGTAGAGCACTAACAGGACCCATATCTAGTATCACCCCGTCCAACCTTTCTCTTGGTAAGGGTGCCACTCTGCTTTTTTTCTCCTGGTAAATAGCCTTTAGAGGGTTTTGGTTCAGTTGCTTAATCTGAATGTTAATACCTTTTTAATAAGGACAAAGAGATCTGACTTGAATTCCTAGTTTCTGAGTTGAATGATTATTAATTGCTTTATGGTTCCAGAAATCTCTTTAAGAGGCTTACATTGTATTAAAGTTTTTTTTTTTTTTTTTTTGGGTCCAGTCGTGGGGCCTGAACTCTGGGCCTGGGCGCTGTCCCTCAGCTCTTCAGCTCAAGGCTAGCTTTCTACCACTTGAGCCACAACGCCACTTACGGCTCTTTTTCTTTTTGCTTATATGGTGCTGAGGAATCGAACCCAGGGCCTCAGGCATGCAAGACAAGCGCTCTACCACTGAGCCACCTTCCCAGCCCTGTATTTAAGTTTTTAAAAATAGTTTTAAATTATGTTAAGAGACTTGAACTTATCTGTGCTCTTTGCAGCAGAAAGTGGTCTTCAACATTCACTTGCTCTCTGTTCCTGAAGTTAAACTGCTCTCAGTAAATATTTACATATCTTTAGTTGTTTTCACTTATTTGGTATTGATACCACTTCTCTGGAAACACATAGGTCATTTATTTAGAAAATGCTGATAATAAGCTGGATGTTGTGACACTCACCTGTAATCCCAGCACTTGGGAGATGGAGGCAAAATAGTTTGACACCAGCCTGGGCTACATGGCAAGAACCTGTTGAGAGTGGGGAGGGAGGAGTGAAGAGGTAGAGAGAAACTGGATTTCACTCACACTTCATCATGGTTAGAAAGCATTGTGTAGTGTTAGGCTGGGAAGGTGGCTCAGTGGTAGAGCACTTGCCTTGTATGCCTGAGCCCTGGGTTCAATTCCTCAGCACCATATAAGCAAAAAGAAAAAAGCCAGAAGTGGCGCTGTGGCTCAAGTGGTAGAGCGCTAGCCTTGAGCTGAAGAGCTGAGGG